AGAGAGAGAGAGAGAGAGAGAGAGAGAGAGAGAGAGATGTGTAAGCCAGTCACAGCATCTCTCCTGCTCACTGCACCAGGGCTGAGGGACTCTTCGTCCCCTCGCTTCCCTCGCTGCAGATTTAACTCATTTCCATCAGCGCAGTCATCTTTTTTTTCTTCTTGCTTTTTACTTGCTGCTTTTGACAGATGCATTACATTCATCTCTATCTGCATTCCAGGATCTAAGGATTTCTTTATTGAAAAACGCGGGTTGTGTGCTTTAACAGAATCAGGGGGACGTTTGCAGAGGACAGTGCTTGAAACTGGGACTCCGACTGGGACTTGGTCTTTTTTTTATGCCGCTAGAGTGGATTCCCTTTTGTTGGGCTGCCGGTGTTTTGTTCAGGGCAACAGACATACTGAGAGAAGGAGTTATAGGACCCTATACCCCTACAACTAAACAGAGTGCATACTTCAAAGGACTAAAGCAAGTTAGAACATCTATGGTTGCATTAATCACTTGAGGAGAAGGTGCTAAGCCTCCCGTGCCAATGCTTCAGAATATCACAACAAAAATACAAGTAACACGTTTCTGGGATGAATCGGTGGATTGCTGATTGATCCCCACACCCCTCTCTGCAAGTATCGGCCACAGGATTGCTGGGGAGTCGAAACGAGAGGAGCGCTGAGCTATTCAGCTGGCCTCTCATTGCTCCAGGAGAGTCCTTCCACCTGCCTGCACGGGAGTCTTACATCCAGCACTTTCATCAGCTACTGGACTTTTACATTTTGTTTGTCTTTTGCTACTTGCAGTCCAGAAAACTGAGAGGCAAGTCTGCACATTTTGGACTCAAACTTTAAATCACTTTAATAGCTAAACTCATCCAGACATATTGCGGCGATTGGTTTCTACCTCATTCTGCCTAGGGATGCCTCGTAAACACATTTTCCCCCCCAGCGCCGCGTGCGCCGAGAGAGCTGTGACATTATCTCCTGCGGAGATCCCCATGTTGTTCTAGCCTGTGTCTGTGTTTTGATTCAGACAATAGCTGGGCATGCATGGGCTCCAGACACTGACCGGAGGACCACCAAAATAAGGGAAGCCTTCTGTTACATTGTAAACACACTGTCACCCATGGCACAGTGAAACTTTGGATCTAATTGAAGGGTCTATTCGCAGAGAAGGATGTCATTTTCTTTTTTTTCCAGACTTTGGTATACACCAAGAGAGACTCTGGAGAAGTTTTCCCCTTAGCAATGGCTGCTAAAAATCTATGTATTGAAAGGTAACTGCCCTCAGTGAATTGAATCTCATCTCGGAGTGAAATAGGAGCCATGTGCTGCGTACCTATTTGATCTGCCAAGAGTGGAGAGCATTGAGCTTCGCTTCATGCTTTAACCTCTTCGTATGGTGTCCTCCCTCTCATCTGCCGTGCTCTCTGCCCTTGTTTAGACAACTTATGCCCTCAGCCTCCCGGTGGCGTCCCTCATTAGCATCAGGAGATGAGGCCACAGACTGGCAGGCAAAGCAGCAGGGGTGTTCACCTTTGGAATAGATGCTGGCCACAGCACCAATGCTACCCTGGTTTAATGAAGCAATAGAGCTTTTTTCACTCTACTTCTGACTGTAACCCACCCACTACTTTCACTAACCATGAGTGATTGGAAAAGGAGAGCTAAACGAGGTGTCCTACCCTCCCAGAGGCTGTATTGATTTTCGTCCAGTCAGTGTTCATTTGATTGAGACCCAGCTATGTGAGAGTCAGGTGAAAGAGAGAGTGAGTGTGTTAGAGAGCGTATTGAGCTCGATAAACTGAAGAAGGCTGCAGACACTCGGTGTAGATGGGGTCGGGGGGGGGCAGGCAGTTCTCCAGTTTCAGTCCAGCTGCCTTATGGGTGACACACCATAAACCTGACCCACTGGACAGCACCCAGAACAATGAACCAGTCTGAACTGACAACGGACCCGCTGCTCACTGCCAACAGCAGTCATGGAGACTTTGTTCCTTACAGGGCCGCCAACCACTCGTGTCCCTTGGGCTGGGGGCTGAACGAAGGCCTAGAGGCCTGCGTCCTGGAGACTGCGGTCATTGTACTTCTGACAGTGCTTATTATTGCAGGAAACCTGACGGTGATCTTCGTGTTCCACTGTGCCCCTCTACTACACCACTACACCACCAGCTACTTCATCCAGACCATGGCCTATGCCGACCTGCTGGTGGGTCTTAGCTGCTTAGTGCCCACCCTGTCTCTGCTCCACTACCCAGCAGGTGTTCAAGAGCCCATCACGTGCCAGGTTTTCAGCTACGTCATCTCTGTTCTGAAGAGTGTTTCAATGGCCTGCTTGGCTTGCATCAGTGTGGATCGCTACCTGGCCATAACTAAACCCCTGTCTTACAACCAGCTGGTGACACCATGCAGACTACGAGGCTGTATCACTCTGATTTGGATCTACTCTAGCCTGGTTTTCTTGCCTTCCTTCTTTGGGTGGGGTAAACCAGGCTATCATGGGGACATTTTTGAGTGGTGCGCACACTCTTGGCCCACCTCTGCCCTCTTTACGGGCTTTGTGGTGTGTTTGCTCTATGCGCCAGCTGCACTTGTGGTTTGTTTTACCTACTACCATATCTTTCGCATCTGCCAGCAGCACAACAGGGAGATCAGTGAACGGCGGGCACGTTTCCCCAGCCAGGAGATGGAGGCTGGTGAGGGGGGTGGCAGTGGGCATCAAGGAGGACACGGACCAGATCGGCGCTATGCAATGGTGCTGTTCCGCATCACCAGTGTTTTCTATATGCTTTGGCTGCCCTACATAATCTACTTCATGCTAGAGAGCTCCCATGTGCTGGATAGCCCTGCCCTCTCCTTCATCACCACCTGGCTGGCCATTAGCAACAGCTTTTGCAACTGTGTCATCTACAGCCTGTATAATAGTGTGTTCCGCCTGGGCATGCGTAGGCTCTCACAGACGATTTGCTCCTTCAGCCACTGCGCAGCCGATGACAGGGACTTTGGAGAGCCTAAACCTAGGAAGAGGGCGAACTCGTGCTCCATCTGATGGGATGTCTTTTACAGGATGAGGATACTGCCGGAATCTACAAATGGGGAACAAAAAAGCTTAACAAGCTTAGCAGCTATGTTAACTTTCAGTAACATTGGGTGGGCTTAACCGAACAGAAAATGGGTTCTGTTGTGTCTGCTGACACCAGTGACATTGCCTTCACAATAAACCATGGTTTATTGCATTACAAGCTTTTCAAGGAGATGGGTGCTGTGTCTAAACAGAGAGATTCATGAGATAGTCACTTTCTGATGGCTTTTATTCTGTGGTATGTGACTTGGCTGTGGATCAAATAGAAAGAAGTCTCCCCATGGCTTTCTCAGCCTTTACATCTCACTGTATGTCAACCAGGTCTGACATAGTGAGAAGACTAAACTGTAAACTCCAAAAGATTCACAAATATGTTTTCAGACATCAAATGTGGCCACACTATTTCATGCCTGTTACATTTTGTTTGTAGTTGGTAAGTGGATCAACCCTCGATTTGATGTCTCATACTTTGTGTCATTAGGAGAGACTAGATAACCTACACCTACTTGTGCTAATAAACCTGTTTCAAGGTTGGAAATTGATAATTCACTTTTTAGTTGTATAAACACACACACTGACAATGACAGCAGCTGCCGATAAATAACGGATGGCAAAAGGTCTTGACTGTTTTCTAGACGAAAGTGCACACTCAGTTTCTGCAGAAGTATTTTGTGTTGAGTCTGTAAACATGATGTGTGCAGGTGAACAGGAGATGCAAAACAAAGATGGTGACAGGCCTATCGCTGATCTGACACTTGGTTCAAATTTGAATATAGTTATTTGCTGAGACCCTCTGTAAAACTTAGGACATAATGTAGAAATGCACAATAATCTTAAATAGTAAAACTCCAATTTAACACTGTTTGGATTGCAAAGAACAGCCCTACATCACAGCAATCGACCAAGGACTGTTAAAATATGGAAACTTGTAAAAGGAGTGTTGAAACCTTTTAAATCAAGTCAAAGTCCTCAAAATAAGAGGTTTCACTTGATGCAACATGGTGACTAATCTATAATATAGACTGTCTAATTGTCAACACATTTAACACTTTGCCTACTGCTGTAGTGTGACCTGTATACGATTTTGCACAGATGACATGCTGCTTTCATTGTTTACTAATTTAAATATTAGCTGATTATGGTTGGTTCTACTAAAAAGCACCGTATGTCCAGAATTCAGACACATGATGCGTTTGTTTGACACTGAGGTCTTTTATATTGAAGGCAGTGAACTGATGCTCGCAGCAGATAACTACCCAGCATAGTTTTTTTTCCCCAAGGTCCCCCCCTTGTGTTTATGAAATAGCTCATCAGGGCCAGCATTCCCACCATTGGTGTGGCATTCCTGATATGGCTTTGTTATGAGTATTCTGCTAACAGTTTGATGCATGAGCGCTCATGACAACCATTTCTAACCAACAAATATATATTGCATTCCCCCTGTACATGTAGGTCCATGTATATTGAATAGTGAACAAACAGAATTAAACAAATTAAACGGCACGTTTTAGGTTTAGTTCAGAAACAGAACTCTGTGTCTGAGCCATAGATCTCATTTTTAGATGCACCTCTTGGATGTTTGTTTTGATCCACTCACAAACTTCTCGGAGTCATTTAAAGGTAAGAAAAGTAATAGTTGCAGTGTAGACCGGAATATATTGGCTGGTTTTGAGTGCTTTGTATCAGTGACGCGGTTATCTTCAGATCAGATGATATTGGGCTTTATTTCCCAGCAGCGGTGGACAGGGGCTCAGGTTAATGTGATCTGATCTGTCTGGAGGTCGCTGTGAGGTTGAAACTGAACTGATCTAAAACTACATGCTTAGTTGTGATAAAGGTTTCAGGCTATCAGTAGCTTATTTTGTGGAGGTTTGTAGAACTTTTTGCCGGACAATCCTAATTGCTTTTAATTTGCCCCACTCTCTTTCAGCTGTACCAATTCTGTTGCTGATTTGAAAAAAAGTCACTGCCCTCAAACTACAGGCCTACATGTCTTACATTCTTCTCAGTGCTTTTATGAATGACCTTAGAAATTAGTGTGCACTTCTCACAGGGTCAGACCTAACTGGCTTACACTGTAATTATGGTAACTGGGCTTGAGGAATTGTCCGTATCCTTTTTCATGATGTCTGTGCCCAAGCAACAGATGGCTATTTTGGGAAGGGTAGAATATAGGTGTTAGAAATAGAGTCCCTAATTACTTCATTCTGCAAAAATTTTATAATAATAAAATAATAATAATGTTGTTCTTTTACTGTGGCCATTCCAGCTTGGTAAAATCTAAAGACTGTTCCCCAGTCTGGGGCTTTTTATATACAAAGTGCAGATGATGCGTGTTGTTAAAACAACCCACAAACCGCCATTGGTTATGATTCTCATACTTTCAACAGTAGTATAGTCACTCCAGTCAATTTACTTTGTACATTCCCTTGATCATTGGATCAGGGGTTGAAGCATAATTTCTTTCAAAAGAATACAGCCACGTAATATAGCCAATGATTTACTGATCTCCCTCTTGGCTCATAGAGTAGTGTCATCTGTGGTTTAGGCCTTGCTTGTAGTGTATGTTAGTCCATGCACAGCAAACCCAGCCCCTTGATATTGTAAATGCATTCTGTGCTGCTTAGCAGTAGCCTGTATAGGTCATTCCTCATTGTAAAGCTGCATTAAGTGATTTTTGACCACTAGGGGCAGAAAGACTCTGCGCCTTTAGCTTTATCTTACAGTGACAAGAAATTCGCGACTTGACATTCAGCTAAAACAGCGCTACCTTATCATTCAATTCAAGAGTCTTTCTGGCCATTCTGATGAATGTAAGTTCAATATTGTTTTTAAGCCAAGGTTTGGTAAACCAATACCACTAACAGAAAAAATATGTCTGTTTTGGGTTATCTACATGCGCACCTTTCTTTACCAGCCATTCATTTACTTTGTCTCTCTGCAGTTGTGCATGAGGTGGGTAGCCTACAGTCAACTTGAAATTCTCATGCTGATAGTGGCTGCCCATGGTTTGCCGTCATTGTTTTTGTTTTGTTGTTTCAGACAACTAGGATAACCAAACTCTTAAGGTAAAAGCAGCTGTGTAAAGCTACAGTATGGGGTGTTGATTCTTAGCGCGATCATCAGCATTCAACACCCTTTAACATATTCAGGAGTTGTTTGTCAGTGTTGGTATGAAAAATATTGCTTCATGCAGCTTTAACACATTGCAGATTGTTCTGTATACGTGCCTAAAGATGTATTTTGTAAGAAAAGTGAAAAAAATAAGTAATTACTGTTACATTGACATTGCTGCACTTTAAAAAAACAAACAAAAAAAAACAAAAACGAAAAATTTACATTAACATACCTTGTGACCGGTGTACACATCTGAAGTCACGTTGTCGTTGGATTTAGTTTTCCATGACTTTGTAATCTTTCAGATGCGTTTCCACTTGAACCAAGAATAGGTCAAGTCAATCATTTCTCTCGGTCAATCAGATTTTTGCCTTTAAGTGGGTACATGTTCTACTATCTGACGTCTACATCACATCCGTAAAATAAGGAGTCTGCAGATGTCCAAGTCTTGTGAATTCCCTTCTATAGCCATATGCCTTGGCATATATGAGGAATAGCAGTAGGAAACCACAGCATAGCCGTGTCAAATGCTAGACCTACGATGATTTTTATTTTGATAGCTTGTGTTTTTGGTGCTCCTTTGGAGCAATGGGGTAGTAGAAGAAATGTATAGGGTCCGAATTAGTCCTGTATTATCTTCATTATGTGGTGACAAACAACAACACAGCTAAATATAACACGGGAGAAAGCAAAGTTCTGTAATAGCCTAAATTATAATAGCTGAGTTGTTACCATATAATGTAAAAGTCGGAATATACCATTCAATCGGAGATTATAGTATTTGGTGAGAAGTTGCACAAATATTCATTCCTTTGGTGGAGTTTTTGTAGCGGGTAATGTGAAATGCGTGTCTTGGTTGAAGGTTTCAAAAATCAAAAGAGCCACTGAATGAATATTTAAAAAATAAATTGTTTTTGTGTGTCTGTTACGCTGACCAAGCTGAAGTGGTAGAAAATCAAAACTGTCAACTTGTTCAAACAAGTCATCTTTCAAGTGCATTGATCGAGGCTTTTAGTAAAGAGTTTTATTAATTGCAGGATAATATGTATTATTTATAAAGATATGTGAAAACCTTTACACAATATACTATATATGAGTATACTGTATGTAAAGTGTGTGTATCTGTTTTTACCTGCTGTACAGCCAAAAAAATCAGACAAATTCTGACAACGGTATGGCGCATCCATTTGTGTTAAATCAACTAGGCTGCTGATGTTTTAAATAGGAGGCAGTGTGTGTTAAATTACATAGTATATATTTTTTTATTTTGAAATTGTGTCAAAGACTATGGTTTTGTCGTTGCTGCCTACCCAATAAAGGTGAAAATAGTAGACATTCACATCTGTGTAGTTGCTTTTGTGAAATGTCTGTGTTTCTGTAGCAACAATTGCCAGCTAGCCAGCTGTCAGTCACAGTAGAACTCTCAGAATTCATCATCATATTTCCTCCACTTTACGTCGATCTTAAGAAGTAATGAGGAGAATGAAGATGTGGGATGCCAGTTTGAATCCAAAGACCTGATGGGATGAGTGCTATTAGCTAACGCCTGCTTCATCAAACATTATTGAGGTACACTTGAGCGAGAGGTATTGATATACAGCATCAGTTACTTTTGAGTTGTAATTGATGTGTAATAATCACAGAAGTAAGCATGCATGATGTAAATGTAGGACTAGTGAGCAGATCAAAAATGCAACCCTGTGACTTCACAGCCATGTTATCAGAGAATGGAGCCCAAGCAGAGAGACTCTATTGTCATTTTGTCTATTGATCATCTGCCAAACATTCTGCCCCTGCCTGTTGCTCCAACTCAGTTATAAGCAAAGCAAAGATGTATTTCATTTTCCTCTGAGCCAGCAGATGGTTGATCTGGTGGTATTAGCTTGGTAACAATTTCTAAGCAGGGTAGCCCTTCCCTTTTTGCCATTGGGAGTTAATGCACACCATCATTTCTCCTCTGTGTAAAGTATTCTCATTACAGAGCCTGATCCTTTGTACTTGGTCTGAAATTAGCCTTTGAAATTCATACACTCAACCTTTTAGACTGCAGACCAGCTTTGAAACAGCCATAACCCCACCGTCTCCACCGAGTAGTGAAGAGACGAGCAACAGGAGATGCAAGGGCGTATTGGTGGTTTAATGGCTCAAAGCGTAATAGCTATTTTATTGTAACGTATGAGTCCTTTTATTTTGTGTTTGTGTTCAATTTTTTGGGATGCTTTCCAAGTTTTTTTTGCTATGTTTGATATCTAGTTTTTGCACAAAAATCTGTAGTTGTTGCTCCTACCAGAACACATTTAATTCACACTAACTATTCAGCCAAACCAAGAGCAGCTTCCCAGTCCAAGCCTGCTCAGTGTTCATGGCCGGCACCATATCAGGAATTCCCTTTTATTTCCACAAATGGCAGCACTCGGCTTACTTCCTCTTTCCCTTTCCATCCTGCCACTTTCCTCCTCCTCTTTCCGTCCTGATTGAGAAAGGACCACCTGACCATCTTTTGAGGTGGGGAAGTCATAATTAGAGGGGATGCCAGTTCCTGCCCCTGTGTGCTAATTGTGGAGGCTTGCGACGCTCACCAAAAGCCTTTAATGACATAAGGAGGACACACGCATGCATCCACAAACCAACACACACTCATACATCTTTGAAAACGTGGGCTGCGACTACGGTCCGATAGCGAACAGGTGTTGATCAGGGCACAGCTGATGGTGTGCTCTTACTGAATGTAATGTAAACATGTATTCATCCATTAACTGAAGCTAAGACTATAGTGGCTCTGTAAGGCTCTAGTTTGGCACAGCCGGCTTTGAGCTAAATGTATGCACCGCATTTCATGCAGTACTTCTAATTGTCAAGACATTTCACTGAAAAACGTTGTCAACCTCACGGTGGCGCCATAAGATGCAGTCAATTGATCGGCATAGTTAGTGGAATTCTTCCTCTGGGGACCATGCATTTCTATGTCTGTTTAGAATTTCATGGCAATCTATTCAATAGTTGTTCAAATAGTGGTGGAATGACCAACTCAGGCCATCATTTCCATCCGTAGAGCCTCCTTGGCATGGCTGAAATGTGAACAAACGCTTGCTCTGCTTCAGTAACAGCACATGCTCACACTTTCACCGTATAACCATAATCTCCTACGGGCTATGTGGGGTTAATGTATTGATTAAAAACACAATCAAGTAGTTTCTGTGGGAGGGAAACGTTCTTATTTTCTCATCTTTACCCAGTTTTCTGGTTTAAGCCTGCTGGTGCTTCTCTGGGATTTCTGCATCAACCTCTGGAGTATCCCACGGCTCAGTGTTTGATTTGATCTTTGCTCTAGTTTAAATGTACCAAAAGTTATCAGTTTAACCAAACATACTTTTGTACAGTGCTTTGTGGAACGGTATCCAATATGTTTCAAACGTCATCAGAATTTTGTATTCAGTATTTTGTGAAATATCAGGTTGGTGCATTCAACATCTGGAGAGAATCCAACTAATAAGTGCATGGGATTGTGTCTGCAGCATGTTTGTGAGCAGAGTGTGTGTAGTTAGCTATAAAACATAGTAAATGTAGTAATTGGTCATGGAAGCGCACAGTGATGCTGCAAAACGTACCTTTAGTTTAATGAGAATACTGTGTGAGCCTCTCAGCAGGGCGTACTGTGGGAACACGACATTTTAACTGCATGCTATCTTTTATTTTCAAAAGGTTACTATTTCTCTAAAGGCCGTTGCTGCTAAGAGGTTACATTGTACACCCAATGACAAAACGGTCCCAGGTTAAATCCCCATAGTGGAGCTAAACCCTGTCAAAGTGCCCCTGAGCAATACGCATAAGGAACAATTGCGCCTTGACAAATATGCGCTTCGGAACACTGTGCGGCGCGATAGGGTTGCTATCGCTTTTCAGCACGTCTACATTGACAAAAATATAGATCTATGGGCACAAACAACTCTGCATGTGATCGGCCCATAAGTGGACGTTCACTGATGGTACCAACTTGCCACAGTACAAATAAATTGCAGCCTGTGAGTAAGTTCCGTCTGCAGCGCTCTCACTCAATATTGGACCAAGATCAGAAAATGTCTCTATTCATCAGACACAAAAACATGGGACAATAGGGTCTAGGTTGAAAAATACCAGTTACCTTTTTAGAATTAATAATTTTTTAAGTTAGGGCACTCTCTAAAATGTCCTAACTTCTTTATAAATGTGTGGCTTGGTTTTAAGGTTAATATAATTTAGATCAATGTTAAATTTGGGTAAACTTTAAAGGTAGCCTTGTTGCTAAAATGTTTAAACTGTTGGGATTATTAAGTTGGGTTGTATGAGGTACTTATCCAAAGTCAGTGTATCACTAAGAGTAGACAGGGGTCTGCACATCCCCAGTTTGGAGAAGCAGACAGGAGTACCAGCATAAGGGCAAAGTAATATACTGTGGAGGGGGTCAGCAGCAGAATGTATTTAGCCGCCTAAAAGAAAGGCCCACCTTAAAAAAATCGTTATCAATTTTAGCGTATGCTCTATTTACAATATTTTCGGACAGGGAACTGAACTGAAAGTGAAACTTTGGCTTATCTGACCAGCTTTATCAACAGACTGGTGGCTTTGAAGAGAGAATGGATACGTTTAAGAAAGGGCTGTCTGACAGCAAGATAAAGCAGTGAAAATAATCTAAATATAGCCTACATATGGATAAAGATTTTATGAGCTTTTCTTTAAAGTGCATTATGCTGCTATCATGTGCTGATACTCCTGCCAGCCCTGCCGTCATACAATGTCACTTCAAATAATCCAAACTATCCCTTTAAGGGTGTGGGGTAGGGATTGCATTACATCATAAATAAAACAGGCCCCCAAAACCTAGTAATACCAAACTGTGTGAGTGTGAGACAGTAAATGCCAGCCTCCTCTATGACTGAGCCATGCTGCCAGCCTTCTGCGCCGTGGCTGAGTTTAGTGCCCTCAGAGCTCCTTTATGATCCCTTCTTTGCGCACACACCAGAGACATTGATACAGTACACGACCACATAAAGGGAAGTAAAATAACACCGGAATTTCGGTACATCTGAATGAGAAATGTGTCACATTTTATGCCTGAAAGGTGCAGTGTGTAGGATTTAGCAGCTAAGTTGCGGGTTGCAACCAAATCACATTGACGTGAAAAGTATAGAGTCCTTGAAAACTGTTCTTGCTCATTAGCCTCAACCAATGCTGGTCGTTTTCCAGCTGTCTAAAAACCAAATAAATGGAATTCACTTTGTGTGACTGTATGTAATGTGATCAACCAGATAATTTCTGCACAATTAACTCGTGTTACTAAACATTTGTTGCGTCTCTTTAAGTAATGATTAATACAATCAGTCAATGTCTATAAAACTGATGGTGCCAAATTGTATGTTTTTACGTAACTACATTTCTGGCCTTTTTAAGTCCGTTTCAGACTGTGGTGGATTGTCCTCCCTTCTTCTCCGTGGTCAACGTTGTCAGACGACTGAGCTGGCCACAGCTGGCACGTTGAACTGCAGATATTCTTTCTCCTCTTGGAAAAGGATTTTATTGTAAAAGAATGGAGCTCATTAAAGTATTGGCTTTGGAACGGCATCAATCCACTTACCTTACTGCTGTACTAAAGGGGCATCTCAAGATTATTTTTCTATTCATCCTTTCAAATTAGATTTAGTATAATTCACACCAATCGTCTTGCTCTAGCCTCTCATTCATAAAGGACAAAGACGAGCAACCTTGACGACACTGGAGGACAGACCTGTTTTTTATTGTTAACCTCCCTGCAGACCTCAGGTACTGAAGCTCTGCCAGCAGATGTACAGCCAGCTTCGCTAATGCTCTCTGAGGGCATTTTAGCTGAATTAAATACCATAAGGGAGTCAAATGAACCCCTTGGCTCCTTGGTATATTTCTTCCCTCGTTTTTACCACCCACTGTTTTGCTCTTCCTTTCCCTCTCTCTGTCCTGAAGCAGTGTGTGTCCCATAGTAGCACACCAGACCTGTCCGTGTTGGGCAGTTATTTAGTAGTGATGGTCCAGCAGCTCGCCTCAGGCCATCGTTGAGATGGGTACAGTGGTTCTTCCTCTGTGGCATTTAGCCTTGCTGCTGTTGCCAGGGTAGGAGCATGGGAGTGACTGAATGAAAAATATATATATATATATATATATATATATATATATATATATATAAATAAGATGTAGCTGTGTCTGATGTTTGCTGGGCTGTGTGACCAGTGTGTCATTCACAAGTCTGTTAGTCAGTTTGTCAATGACTGAAGTCACTTTACTGACAGCCAGTCAGTAAATGACCTGTGATAATCTGCTGAGAAAGGAGGACTAAAAGTACATTATAACCACTTGTAGTCACTTGAAACCTAAATACCAGTTTTAAGAGCCCAAGCCAGTTATTTCCACCAGCACTATAATCGGTACAACTGTTTTTTATAAGGAAATAATAAATGGTTCACAGCTTCTTCACCACAAAAAGGTTAAGTCGGTGTCAAACAAGGGAAGTGAATTAAAGAGCGTTTTATCTTTCTAGAGGACGTTTAGCTGTATATATACAGTATGTATCCAGCAAATAGCATGTCTTTACAACGCAAGATTACCTGCTTCACTTCACTAGTAGTAATCAGGTTCATGAGTTTTGAGGTTGCAGTGCAGGTTTCCAGCCTCAATAGGTAATTGTAAATATACCTTGTACTATAAAATATAATAATACAAGGTGTATATACTGTATATTCCCATTTTTTGGGATCATTTTCATCAAAGGCAGTGTTATTACACTGTGCACATAGAATGATAGGATAGAAATTGTTTGTTTGACCTTTGGTTGCACACAAAATAAACTGAAATGCATTCTCTACATGCATATTTAATACTCTCCCTGTGTATGCAGTGGTGGATGAGACTGCCACCCATCCAGCACTATATCTCCGGTGACAGTCGAGTGTCTCCATTGTCTCTCCGGTTCTTCCCAACCGAACATCGGGACTTAAGAGCCACTGTGTCGCTATGGAAACCCCTAGCTGAGTCTAAAGAAGCACCACGGCTTCAGCGAGTTCATTTTAAGTTTATAAATAGAGCGCAATTAAAATGGATGTTAACATTGGCTTCAAAATAGCGGCCTCTTCATTATTCATTCATGTGCGCTTTTATTTTGAAGATGCAGGGGAAGGAGGGGCGTGCAGGGCTCCTGACTGACTGGTTTTAGGAGCACTGCATCACAATTTTAGGAGCACCGGCACAAAATTGTGGCGCACCACTTAATCAACATCTAACACAATTAGAGATGCACCGATTCAAACGGCTGCCAATCAGAACCAGACGGTTTTCAGCTGATCTGCCATGAGTGGTGACCGATTTGTCTCATATTTCCTTCCTCTTATCAATCGTAACGTAATATCGCCATGAATGAGCGCGTTCATAAGTCTCTCTCTGTCTTTCTCTCTCTCGGGTGCATGCTATGTAGCGGCAACACACACTTGGTCAACTATCCAATGACCATAATTGTTGTGTTTTGGGATTGCTTGTGACAGCCCTAGTGACCACCTTCGGTTGCAACTACAACATCAATCTGAGCACTGTTGATAAATCACAGCTTTTTATGCATGCGATGAATATAGTAGGACCACGGCAAACCCTTGCCTCTCTGTTTGTTTGGACGGGACACACACACACCGATTCTCGCTCCCTCCTGGTGTTTCACATGAGATACTGTAGTGATTTCTTTTTTTCAAAGGGGAGGCATATTTGCAAGTAGCACTGCTACTCCTAGTTATAACATTTAGTTACACTGTCTCCAAAAATGGTCGCTGTGTGTGTGTGTGTGTGTGTTGTGTCTGTATCGTAGCCTACAGCCTGTTTCTTTCACACAAGTAACGAGAAGAATGAAAGACACACAGACCCAGCTCCACATGTAGGAATTCACATAACTTTATACACATCTGTGGACCGAGCCGCTGAGTGTCTGACCCTCCACCCACTCCACCTCCATCATCCCTTGGGACCTTCTGTCCCCACATAACAGACACTCAACACATATCCTCCAGTAAAAAACACAACACACAGAAAATGTCAGATATCTGGGGGGATGCACTTTATCCGCTGACCTCTCTCAATGATGCCCTGTGTGTGTGTTTCTGCGTGTGTGTGTGTGTGTGTGTCCGAGAGAATCTCATCCTGCTCCAGATCCAAATTGATCCCAACCAAATGCCGACTGGAACAGTACATCACATTTTTTTGTTTGTTTTTATTTTCATAAGTTCCTTCTCTGTGGCACCATGGTACTAATATAAATCCTCGAAATACTGTCAGGAACAGTGTGTTACTTTTGCAGTGAATAAATTGTAAAACTACATTCAAATTGAACACAAGAAAGAGTGACCATTTATGCTGGAGAAGTCAGTGGAAAGTGTCAGAGAGGGACACAGTCTCACTCTATTAATGTGAAGAATGTTTGTTTTCCAAAATGGAAAAAGAGGCTTTCTTACGCTCTATGACATTTTATTTTAGGGCTGCAACTAATCTCATCATTAATTAATTAATATCGATTAATCTGTTTTTTTAAATTGACAAGAACAATTTTGAAAAAATAGCTATCATGATTTCTCGGAACCAAAAAAAGATATTAAATATCCTATCAGATAAAATGGGGAAAAGCAGCATATCCCCCTTAAAGTAAGACGGTTAGCATTGAGTGTAGTTATTTTATGAATTGAGTTTTTCTGGGTGTTTGAACATCTGGTTGACTAGTGAACTAGTGGCGGCATGCCCTTTCACATCAAGCCGCTTTAATGAGGAAATGTTTGGCATTTTTCGATGATAAATGACTTAAATCAGTTGTCAATGTTGGTGATTAATTTCCTGTTAATCGACTAACCATTATTGCGGAGTTAATTAAAAACAAATGAAGATGTTAACCATAACATCTAATCCAGCTCTGTTACCTTCAGCTCTCTGGTGTGTCGAATGCTTTCTTAAACCTGCTTGCTTCTCCCTAATTTCACTGCAAGCAAAATGAGAAGTTTTTGCATTTTTGCTTTCTGTCTGAACACGGCACCTGCACTCCCAACTCAGCTTATTGAAATGCAGAACCAGCCAGTCCATTAAAATGCCACGGCAGCGATACAGAGACGGATGAATTTGCAATCTGCCAGGCGGGCCAGCTGTTGCACCCCCCCCCCCCCTTCCCTCAACCCTCCAGGGAAGCCTCGAGAAACTTACTCGCCAGCAACCAAGGACAAAGGTCTCAGGGGGGGGCTGGTTTTTAATTAGCGGGCTGCCGTCCTCTGAATATCACACCAATAGATTGATTCACTGTGTCCCACTGAAATGAAGAGAAATGAGGAGTGTTTGTGGCAGCCAGGTGTGTCAGCATAGAGGGATGGCAATTTCACATCCGGCTAGACTTTGAATTCATGAAGTGTGTTTTTTGCCTTACATACTTGTAGAATTAGCACCTTCTCTTCGAAAGAGGACATTTTTCATTATATAGATATTCAATCTCTTCAGTAATCTGGCCTTTTGGGAGTTTTAAAAGATAATTGTTTCCATTCCAATACCAGGTCATGATGCTTGAGCCTCACGGTTACAAACTCTTGTATCACCTAAATTTAATCTGATGTGTCTAATAGTTGCCCGACAAAATAGAGGTCATGTCTTACACTATGTTAAAAATTGTTTAGCAAGTAATATATAGTTCATACCGCATTCAGCCTAGTTTGTTTTCTCAAATCATATATATTTTTATGAAGCCAGAAGGTTCCTCAGTGGGAGTTGATGGTAGAACTATGAATAGCTTGGAAAGCATTTTATTTACCTCCTAGCGCCAATCTTCATAATCTCCTGTTCCACTGATGAACAAAGGGAATCCTCATAGGCTAACCAGTCTTTACTGCAACTAAGCTGCTACACTGTATCACATGGGGCTAGAATGCCTTGCTCGGAGGCTTGCTGCAGCAGGGTAGAGTTTGGTCCATGCTTCTCAAGTAGCAGTGTTGTCGTACCGCTTTTTAAAGGTCTCTGTCTCGTCTCGGAATCAACCCTCATTCAGTCTCTGTCTCAGACAAAGAGCACTCTAGATTTCACTAAACTGCCTGGATATTTTCCAAATTATCGGTTATCATCATTACTGTGATTGCTCATAGAAAGCACAAGAAAATTCTCACATATGAAATTCACCTCTGCAATGCCTTTTGATTATGTTCTCTAAGACATCTCTCATGGTACATACAGTATATATCTCATATATATCTTTCTTTTCCTCTTTCCTTCTTCTGCCTCTGTTTTTTGGGGGGTTTATGTAAGGTTTTTGCGATCCAAACGCAGCCTGTTTGTCACTTTCAGTCCTGGCCTTCCATTGAAGGAGCTGCCATCCATCCAAAAGATGAAGAGGGTAGCTAATATTCTGGCTGTCAGTCATTCTGCTACCACTTTCATCTTGCTCTCCCCTATCTACCCTGCGTCCTCTGTCTGCCTTTCTAAGTACTTTCTCCATCCTTTCATATCTGTACTTAACATTCTCTACTTAATAGATCATTTACTATCCTCTGGCTTCCATTTGAATGTGTCTAACGTGAACAACAAATGCTGTTGCGTTTCACTGAAGCAGACATTTCTTCCAACCAGTTTGGAGACTGGTTTATGCCTGGAACAACTCCAGGGTGCAGCTCTGCAACAGACATGCTCTCTGACATACCATTCTGCTGGTTTATCGCAGCCTCTGTTGTCTAGCACGGCCCATCATGCACCACTCCCCACCCGCGCTGAAGCCCGGCTCAGATGGCGCAGCACTTGCTTTTGTTTTCTCAATCCCATCAGAGAGAATGGTGCATTGAATTCATTCAATTGAGCCGCCTCTCTGCCAGGGTGAGAACTTATTGAGCCTGAGAATAGGATCAATAATTAGGTTTGACAGTGTATGGAGATAAGTGACACATAAACAGTAGAGTAACGATTTCTTTCATCAGCTTCAGGAGTGTTTTACTATGAAACCTGCTGTGAAACCTGCCTCAAGATATTTTTCTACACGGACAATAGTACGATTCAGGAAAGAAAAACTGAATTTGAATGGGATAAGAATTCTAAAATTAGGAACGTTTACACAACACATTGTTGCTAAGTTG